TTAAATAGCTATATAACTAAAGCTATTATAAAATAAGGTAATATAAGGAATTAGGGTAATTAGTACTAGGCTTTTAAAGGATTAATTTACTTTACTTTTTCTTTAAGGTTAGTTTTTCTTTAAGGTTATGGTTTAATTTTACCTTTTTATATTTTTATAATTTTTTTTTTAATTATACTAAGGTAACGTAGCCTTAAGCTTTTTATATAAAGTAACTGCTTAATGTATAACCTTTAATAGTTTAGTTTAAGGTATAAAATGCACTTATTAATAAATGTTTATAGGTTTATTATTAAGCCTAACTAGTTATAACCTTATTTTTTAGTAAATTAAGGCATTATTAGCCTAAATAATACTAGTTTTTATTACTTTTAGGGGATATAGGGCACTTTAGGCACCTAATTCTCTCCTTATAGGGGTTTTTTTAGCGGCTTAACCTTTATAATAGGGTATTTTTACCTTCTAAATTCAATAATAATAGCCAAAATCCCTCTAATTATATAGCAGATATATACGTAAGGGGCTTATAACCTGTTAAGAGGGATGTGTGTGTATTGACTGTGGCTAACTAAGGTCTCGGGCCGGGAGGTCCGGCTGATATACAAGGTAGGTGCCTCAGGCACCTTCAACACTAGGTACCTTAGCCTGGCCACAGCACAAGCCACAATACCTAGAAACCACAATGCTAGGACGTCGGAGTCATGAAAATCTGCTTATAGCTCGTCCTAGTTAATAATATTTTGCTTAATGCGTATACGCGTGTGGGCTTTCATGTCGTTGTTCTTCCCCTTACTCACACTCCTTAAGAACTCTCTTCCCGATGATTCTTCGTCGTTTTCATGTACAGGACGAATGGTTCTTCGGCGATGCTTGACTGCTGTAATATAACCGCATGCTACATGTTCGTCTGCTTCACATTCCATGCCTTTAGGATCAGCATACTCTTCCTTTTCACACACTTCATCTTTATTTCTCGGAAAATTTAGACTCTGCTTACTCCTCAGCCTGGCTCCGCTTCCTCTTCTTTCCCAGATAGCGTCTCCATGGCTTGTGATCTAATAATTTCCCCAGATATCCCTTTTCAATACCGTGTGCAGTGATTGTAAATGTGAAGGCTTGCTGCTGTAGAGTGCCAGTACCATCCATCAACCAAGTATGAATCTCAACCGGTTGGCATAGGCTAAGTACCTGCTTAGAAACGACGATTGAGGGTTCATTGCCGCACCCCTCGCACTTTCTGTCGAATTCAGTAGCTACCTTAAGTCCAGAGTACCTTAGCTAAGAATGGTTGCTCGATGATGTATCTTATCGCAGAGCGGATCCTATGTGTAATCAGAAGTCTCTCCAGAAATATATCAGATTGACACATACGCAGGAAGACCATGTGTGTACCACAAGCTCAACTTCGCAGAGTCGAGACGCCATTTGCTCAAATTTCTTGTCATTGAGCAACTCGACGTCTAGCTTATAGCCTAATTTTCCGTAAACCGCCGCTGTCATACATTCTTGATAACAGCCCCAGGGCTCGACCATGGCTCCCGGTATGTTCAAGCAACCGGCAATATCGTTGACGTGCAACATTGACGATTCAAAGCAAGGGGGATCTAAGCAACTTGGGAGAGGGCGTCGGTGATTGGGAAACTTGGTTTCAAGGCGAATTTCGAGACTCACAAGAGCTTCAGCCGTGAGTTCCAACGAAGCATCAGAAGCCAGCTCGACTGCGATACCAAGGGTCTTAGAACAGCGAACAATGATACTTCGAGCCGCGGAGGCGAGACCAAATTCCACATATCCAGTAATATCGAGATAAGAGGGACCCTGGATACAATACGCCTTCAAACAAATAGCCCGAAGGAAGACAGTAAGCTCATCCGCCATGGTGATTGTTTCGGTTTGGGAGATGAAAGATCTGCCATCCAAGAGGACTACCAATCCAGCAATAAATTCAGCCCAGTATCAGAGGATGCGGACAACTGGTCTCCGGGGGTGCCGCATTCTCACCGTGGACCATGTCGTCTACGCCAATGCAGTCTTGCAGGAAGGGATCCGGAAGGAGAGCGAGAGTGAAACTATTGCCCTGTGACCCTATTTGCTTTGCAAACGGTTCCCGACCTGACAAGGTTGCCGAGTGCCCAGCGTGTCCTAGTAATTGCGTAGACGGCGCCGAGCTAATGCAAACAAGATGCCTCAAGTTATAGTGTTTTATAACTAGAAGGGCCAAATTGCATAAATACCTTACTCAAGAACTTGTTTTCTACAGCCAGAACTTCAACAATATTTCCATGCGAATCTATTCTCAAATGTGTGGATATCAGCATGCAAGTCCTCCAGTGCCACTTATTCTTATTTACTTCTATGTGCTCAACTGCTAATTCTATCACAAGCGACGATACGCATGTGGCCATCCGCTCATTGAGGTTATTGGCTGGTGCGAAACCTATAGAACCTCGGAAAAGCCTTGCAGGCCAAAGCCAACAAATGAATGGTTCCAGCTCAAAGGTCTATGCAGTAAGTCTTACAAAAGGTACTATCCAGCAGGCCCTTCTCATAACAATTTCAGGCACTTGCAAAGGAAAACAGCGCGATGAGAACTCGACCAATCCATGGGCACCCCAAAACTATAACAAGCACCGACATTGGGAAGGATCAAAGTGAAGTGCACGGTGGCTAATGTACTGGATATTGGATTATGCATGTGCAGTATCCGTAGATAGTAGATGACGGCGAGTCAGTGAACACAGGATGCATCCCTACCTGCCATGGACCATGTAGTCGACGCTAATGCAGTCTTTCGAGTGGGAATCTTGGATGGGAGGGTGTGAACCAGGGGTGCATGGGAATGGGGCGTGTAAGTAAGCAGTCTCACTTGATTCCAAGGTCTCGACGGATTTGCTTCTCATACTTTCAGCTGCACATGGACTAGACGGGAAAAGAGCAACATGGTGACTGAAGAAGGGGCTGTTGCTCAAGTTCGGTTCGAATGTCACGTATACCAGACGTCCCCCACTCAAGTTCGTCCCTGACTTCTCCTCCTCATCCTTCTCCTCCCCACCAATCTTTAAGCTTGTGTATTTCAACACAATGACTACTCTCTGTAGCGGCTCAGTAGCTGGAAAACAAAAGGTGCGTCCGCCGTCCAAAGCGAAGCTTGAGCATTGACTGATACAAACATAATAGGATGCAACAGCTTATGACGATGACTTCTTACATAGGCTCGTCATACCGCTCACTTGTTTTAAATCTGCCTCATCACCCGACAGCTTGGACCCCGAGAAGCTATGTGAAGAAGCAAAAGAAAAGGGGCCGCATTGGCTTATTGAATACTTTTGCGAAAGTCTTTGCGAACGATATTCTAAGCAGATATCCGGAGCTCAACTCCTCCACGAACTAAAGAGATCTCCTCGCAGAGCTCTTGAGGCTCTGCAAAAGGTAGTCAAGACTTCAAAGGGCCATGAGCTTTATTGGCTCCTTCTACGTCCTGTCAATGAAGATGGAACTTTGGAACTATCAGGAGATGAACTGCTCGAGAATCTCATCTCAATCGGGTATCGAACAGGGAAGCTTGGCTATTGTTATGTAGTTCACGAAGACGCGTCCTCCTACACCTCGCACTACCTCAAACTTGTCGATTGGTTGAAGTGGCAAAAGGAGACCGATAGTCTCCTGGATTTCGCGATTCAGGAGTGCCCAATGTTCGGTAAAGAATACTACTTATCACGACGTCCTTCATCTTCATCTTCGTGGACTTCCGCAGATTCCACGCAGGAATTGAATCCTACACTAGACACAACGCTGCAACTGGCTTACGTCCCAACTTCACCACTTGGACTCGAATACTTAGAAGCGGTGCAAGAACTGGAAGATCCCCTGCCTGATTTCAAGGAAACAAGAGAGGTACGTCTATCATAACCCGCGATCTATGCAAGAGTTAAAACGATATAGGACAAGGTCGAGTGTTCTAGCGATGGCGACTCGGGTCTGAACGATCGAACGCACAAAGACAGAGAATGCCTGTGCTTCATCTACTGGGACCTCATGCTCAAACTTCTCATGGTGTATGTTACTTTCATATACACCCTGTCGCCAGGCGATGCAGACCCCCAGAGGCTTTTCGAAGAAGCCAGAAAATACGAGCCTTGTCGGATCCTTGAACGGCTTTACAAACGTGGTTTCCAACTAGCAATTGGAGGTGGGCACTTGCGTGCCGCTCTAGAAATGGTTGACGACAAAGCCAAACGATATCTTGCTGGCTTTGAATATCTACGAGTGACAGCTCGAACTCCTGATGGCATTGAACTTACTAGGTTGCTGCCCGCCTATGAAATTGGCCCTGTTGAAGCCGTGGCGAAAGTCGAAGAGGTCATTTCCGCAATCTGCGATGGTGTTACTCTAGCGAAGTATCGTTGCTTTTATGCAATTGATGCAGATCAGTCTCCCTTCTCCCACGTCCGTGTCAGAGTTGCCATGACGGTGGATTATTGGAGTTTCGTTTGGCCTGATAGTCATATGGCCAGTTCAGAGGCTGTCAAACCCGAGGCGGATCCGACACTCACTGAGGAAAATGAGGTACGTTTAAGGCTCGAACCGAAACATGGCAACGCTAATACGCATTTCACGCAGGCTGCAGTTAGCTCAGAGGGCCCAATTCATCTTGAGCAGAAGGAGAAATTCGTGGAGAGATTTGAGAGGCTCACGACTGAAGAGCATCACGATGTGCTAGAACGGGAACTTTTGGAAGCTGAAGGCATTGCAAGAAAGAGCTCCTCTCTTGAGCACAGTCATGTGGCCAGCATGGTTGATGAGGATGAGGAAGAAGGTGGATTCACTATGATTTTTGGGATTTAATATGTCTTATTCATCCTATCAGCTCTATGCTCTCTCTACCTCGTTATAACAAATTTCTCAAATTTAAACCATCTAATACTAACGTTGGTTTCGAATATACTCCTTGATCTCTGCCCATAGCTTCACTGGATCCTGGCTTATAATCTCATGCATGGGGAAATTTCCCCAAGGCAGTAAATCCTCCTCGTTAGTATTCCTATGATGCATGATAGCCGATAGGGTGAGTACTTTGGCTCCATGTTCATCCAGAGTTTCATCCTCCTTGTCCCCATCCTCCTTCCAGAACTTTCTCATAGTAGGGTTCAAATGCAGCTCGATTCGTCCATTGTAAAAGGGAATAGGAAACATTTTCCCAATTGCAGCCAGTCCCATTATTAACGGAGGGGGGAGAAACACTCCGTACTGAAGGACTGCTGGTGGCAGAGAAGGGAGTCCAGCTATAGGTCTTTTAAGTGGTCGAAGTGATGTCTGGAGGGAAAGAAGTGGTTTAGGGAGACATCTAACGCTTGATGGCAAAGATTGACGGTGGTGATAACGAGGCTGCGGCTCGAGCGAATAGCAGCACCTATCTGGAGTCATTCCTCGATCCGGAAGTCCTTCCTCGACTGCATCTTGTGGGTTGACACGGCCTGGGGAGGAACGACCGGTTAAGGAACGGTGAACAATGACACAGAAGGCTAAGGCAGATACCACGGCGAGGACTGAGAGCCCGACAGCCTTGCCAGTGGTAGGCATTGTGCTTGCGTGACTAGGTAAGGTACTAAGGTAGCTTGGCCTGAGCCTTGGTGGAGGTTTTGTGACACTACCTACTTAGGTAGGTAGGTACTGGTAGTTAGATTGTATGCACCACGACCAAAGGGATCTGGCTTTTCAGGGGGGGAACACATGAATTTGAGAAATACTTGTGGAAACCAGTCGATGAGGTCTGCAATGCTGTTGCCTTACTGGGTTGCACATTGTTATAAGTACTTGGTCATTGTCTGGATGTTGGTTAACCTCCCTCAGTGTTGCAGGGCGGGCGGTTGTCGAGGGTTTGAGCCATTGTGAATACAGTATAGCGCAAGATAGTCTTGTTGACCACTTTTGGAAGAGTACCCATTTCTTCAGCTTTATGAACTATATGCACCCCCCTCCCCCTTCCACGTTGATCTCAAGCTAGCCTTTTGGAGCAAGCAAGACTAAAACACGCTAATCGGAACCTGACAGGACATTACAAAAGTGTCCCGTTTCTCGTCTCATCAAAACCCGCTCAGACAACCTTACCTTAGGCATAATGAATCAGCATCGCCATGAGCAGCCATCGTCATCAAACAGCGGGCCGGAAGGTCTTCCCGATATTGGATCAAGTGGCCCCCCTGCACGTTCCATGATTGTATTCGAGGTGAGAAAAGAGGACACGACTCGGGCAGAACAATTACCTGAACACTTTACTTCTTTGATCAAAGACCTGTCTCGGGAGAATGGCCAGTTCAGAACACGTAGGAGGCTACGGGGGCTCGATAATCCCAGGGATGTCCACCGACAACTGTCGAAGCTTGAGAAAATCGACCTGATCCAATGGCCATCTCAACATGCCGCCTTGGTCCCTTGGCAGCAATTAGTCATTATCGCTGCTACTATAGTTGATAAACATCTTGGTCACCAAGAGATTGCTGCATCAACAATCACTCATCTCCATGGAAAACAAGTATCCCAAGATCTAATTGCCAAGGATGAACGGGCGGTACGCGAAATAATCCAGTTGATAGATCATCTGTATTTTCAATGGGAGGACCTTGCTCTCGAGCTTCTTATGCTTCTAGGTAAGAATACCCCCTTCAGTACTTATTTTGCCTCTTCTTATCCAGTATCAGACACCCCATTGTATATTCTTCGTGCCCAAAGCGCCAGGAAGTATAGGATGTTCAAGAAGAGGCTTCAAGAACACACGCCTTCCCCTAAAATCAGAAGTTCGTTAAAGCTGTATATTCCTTTTCTAGTTCTTCTACTACGGCCAAAGTATAAACTATCCCATATTCAAGATGCTTTGAAGACAACTCTTCTCAACCTGGATGCTTGCGATCTCTTCTGGGAGACATCCCATGGGCCCCCCCTGGGATACGACCCAATTAGAGATACGTGGACAGAACCAAGGCCATTACCATCAACTGGCCTTGATTTGTCAGAATTTATCGACTATAAACGAAACTACCCTGCCAAAGTTAATATACCAATTTCTGGCTTTAAAGCATTTGAAACATCACTTGATTTGCAGCGGGAGGTGGCATACGTCAACCAAAACCAGTCAGGATATACACCTACAAATGACTATATATTCTCCTATGACTGGGATGAGGGCATACATGGACATGCGATGCAGCAGGTGTTGCAAGACTTGGTGAGTTATAAACCTGAGTACTGTCGATTCTACTAACCGACAAGGCAAAATCCGAATTCATCCAAGCTGAAGAGATATACGTCCAGAAGCTCTCTGTCTCAGTTGAATCATCAAGTATCGATGTACCAGCAGGTCACCTCCAGATTATCGTTCCGGTAGAAGCATCGCAAGAGCCAGTTTCTCTCAGTAGTGATGGATCTAGTACCACAGTTAAATGGAGCATGCAAACTGGGTATATACTAGATCAAAACACAAAACTATCACCTTCAGGGACGATCAAGTATATCTCTCTATTAGTTGTACTTTGAAGATACAGTTTCATGCCTCAAGCCTTCTTAATTCTCAACACATCTTCCTTCACCCCTACAATTCGATCAGCAGCAATCGGTTCTGGTTTTGGGGCATTGGCAACTGTACGCCGACGTTTAGACTGGGCAATTCTTAGATTCAATGTAGTCTATACCTGAATTACTGCCACCTTGCTACGGCATCTTGTTTCCGCTGGTATCTTGTTCCGCTTGAGTGGAAGAGGTGTCTGGCATGTTGTAATAAATGGTTGGTGTCCAGGACCATCGATAGTCAGTCACTTCAAAGTCAGAGGAAACATGATAACTTATACCTCACCCTTTGTTTTCTCATCTCGACCAAAAGATGGCTTGTCTTTGATGTGCTTGGATCGTTGGTTATGGCCATGCACCTCGACCTCAGCCCGGATACAACTCATCATCGCCAGCTTGGGCTGCATAATAGGCTACTTAGCCTACAGGACTATTCTCTACCCTCGTATACTTACACGTTCTCAAGAAATTACTCTGCCACATCGTCAAGAAAGGCGGGTTTACAGGCCACTGTAATTCGGGTCCATGTGAAGCTGTGTTTACATGCTCGATTACGATAGCGTTCCTCAAGGGCGATTCAGCGTACTCATCTAGTTGGACGAGAGTTGCAGAGTCTTAATGACATGAAGTCACGTCTTTCACGTCCTTGTTAACATTTTTTTGTTCTTGACTGATATCTTTGGCTGCATATCTTGACTCGAGATAATTACTATTCTTGTGCATGGTGGCGACCAAGGCGGGAGGGCAAAAGCATGGTAGTTTGAGGAACAGCGTACAAGCGCGGTGGGGTTCCCTAGGCCAGAGATGTTGAAATATGAGGGGAGCAACTCCTTCAGCCTTGTGCAAGATGCTTTTAGCGTCAGGTATGACGGTGTGATTTGACTAAGCAAGCAGTACCGGTAGCCTGGGACCGCTGAATAAGGCAGCAAGTCATTTGAGAAGACCTACGCAGAAGAAATGGGCGGGAGATGAACAAATCCTTTGAGACGGCCATTCTTTACACGCAACAGTCATCTGAAAGGGAGATCAATGAAGCTTGAGCATGAGCATGGTGTGTTGACCCGTGGTTCGCTGCGTAAAGAGTTGTATGGCAGTTATTCTACTCGTGTCTCCGATATCAGGAAATAATCAACATGTGCCTGGTGCCCCGGGATAGCCACTCTGTGTTACAGAATGTGGAAGAAACCCTGCAAATGCAGAGTAGTCCACCAAGATCTGCGTTCATCACACACATACCTCCGAACCATGTCCTCCCCTTCCAAATTGCAGGGGCAAGTCTGTCAACCGCCATTTGGCTTAGTATCCGGACAGATATCTGCTCAAACAGACGAAAGTCCCCAGGCAGTAATGCTCTGTCTGACTTGGAGCATTGCCTTGGTTTGCCAAAGATGGATCGAAATGATAATCCCCACCTGCAAAATAGCAAGAGTAAAGTACCTTACCTAAGTCGTCTGTCTCAATATCGGGTACTTACACTGATTAATGCGAGCAAGACTTGCCTTACCAACATAAGTACTTAGGTAGGTAGGTAGCAAGAAACGGGAGGTGCCATGCCAATGGCCACTTGCCCCAAGTCATATGCGACGAGATGATTCATTCCCACTCCAGTTAGGGGGTCGCATCAGTCTCGAAGCACCCGAATTGACATCTCAATCGTGAGTTGCACCATCAGACTAACATCTTTCAGGGCCCCCCTCTGACACTACTTCTTCATTTGATGCCGAAGAGCGCTATGAATTGACAACTGCTTGTGCGAATAACTCTCCTTTCTCAACATGTTCAATATGGACAACCGCTTACACGACCTCTTCTTTCTCGCCGTTCACTCAAGAGCTTGCTCATTTGCCGCCGTCAGAAGAGATGGTTTCACCGCCAGTAACTTGTTGTAGCACCCACTCTGTTATTAAGATCATTGCTTTTGAATCCACCATCGAGACTCTCATAGCCAACACCAACACCGAAATTCAGATCACCGGGGCCAAAGCTGAACCGCTTGCTGGAAGGCAGGTTATATTACTGCCATGGTTTAAATACCCTACTGTCGTCTCATAGATTTGGCCTCCCTTACAGGTGAAAGCAGCGTCAATTTATACACGTACAATATACTATCGTTGCACTACTCATCGATCGAAAGCAGAAGGGGCCATGATAATCAATGGATCTGGTCTCTATATCGAAGGTAAGAAATCAGCGGCCATAAAGAGGACACTGACGACTCTTTCGTATTTAGAGAGAGTGTGTGAGGGCCAGATACTGGGTTGTTGCTTGTAGCAGCAATTCAGATAGCGTTACTAAAATTTATGCAATAAACTCACCACGAGAGTTTCCTCAACGTTTCTATCCGGCTGATAGATAAGACAGAAACTCTCCATTCACCCGTGTAAGTGAACCATGGAATGACTTCGCAACAGCTTCATCGCCCTCCACAGACACTACATTCTTGTTCCCCAACTAATTTCCTGACTCCCATCCAATCAAATGCCTCGGTTCCGTGGTCTAGTTGGTTATGGCATCTCGTTAACACCGAGAAGGTCCCCGGTTCGATCCCGGGCGGAACCACACTTTTTGTTTCTTGGGGCCTTGCACTCCTTTCTAATAAGTGTCGGGATCGCCTTGAGGCTGTGACTCGCTGACCCCTGGGCAATGATGGTAAATCGTCCCCGATATAGAACCAGTGGGGGGCACTAAACACAAAAAGGTACGGGAAAGGACAAGCCAAGCTCAGCTCAAGACTCCGCCCATTCTGTTCTGAAACGGAAAAAGACGAAACTACCTGCTCCCAGATCTTACATCTCAACATCTCACATATTCTTTTTGAGTATCTCTCTCTTTAATTGCTCTGTTTGAACATCTCTCAAAGTCTTTTCGTTGAGACATCTCCGCGTGCCCCTCGATAACCCCCCCGCCAAATCGACACCGACACCGCCATGGCTCAAGAAGGCATGTTCAGCGCCAACCTCCTCTCCCCTGAGGTCAGCGCCGCTCTCCCCGAGGGTTATACTCTGCGCGCTCTGCGAAAG